TAAGAAGAAAAAAAGTTCAGGATGACAAGGGACACTAAAATCCCCACAAAATCCGACCTTTATGAAAGCTGTAGGTTCTGTCAGGTTCTCTGTCAGGTTCTCTGTCAGCTGAGGTCGAGCTGTTTTAATATGCATTGAGTTCTATGGGGAACATTTCTGTGTAGCCCACGTGAATTTAGTCTGGTTCAGTCTGGTTTAGTCTGCAGTACCGCGAGAATCCCCCGAGCACATGAGTTATTCAGCTCCAAGCTAGTAATACCCTATCCAGTTATTATCATGAAGTTTACACATGGTAAGACCCAGACTAGTACAATTCAGTTAACGATAATTATTTTCGCAATCAGTCAGTAACTTTGAAGCCTGTGTTTTGGCGCCGCTTCCATCAAGAACCATTTTTAATATTAAGCAAAGTTTTTCCTTTGAAGTGTCTTTGAGATAAAAACATGCACTTTGTTCCTCGGCCAGATTGTATTGTCAAATATGTACTGTATATCCTTAGTGGTTTGTGCTCACGTCTAAACCACATTTGCCAAGTTTTGTGATGCAATAATTATTATTACTGGGCGGCACAGTGGCTGAGTGGTTAGCATTCCGGTCTACAGAATAGTGACCGTGATTGCAGTACCACTTTTGGCCAGATTTTTTACATATTGTTCCTGTAAAAAGGGTTGGTAATGGTGAATTCATAACTTGGTATTTGTTTGAACATGGTTTTTTCTGAGTGGAGTTTCCCTGTGTCTGCGTAGGTTTCCTCCAGGTGCTCCGGTTTCCCCTACCACTAAAAACATGCACAATAGGTCTGAATGGAATGAGTGAGTGAATGGATGGTGTTTGGTCGGAGGCTTTGATGGTCCAGTGTGTTCGGGTCTCGCTTCTGTCATCATTAAAGGGCCCTAATCTGTCATCATTAAAGGGCCCTAATCTGTCATCATTAAAGGGCCCTAATCTGTCATCATTAAAGGGCCCTAATCTGTCATCATTAAAGGGCCCTAATCTGTCATCATTAAAGGGCCCTAATAATAATAAACTGTTCTTTTCCAATTCTTCTTTAACTGATAACAGTAGCTCCGGGATATTCCAATTTCTAAATTACTTTTCCAGCCTCTAAATCTTGTTATTGTTTTCATTTCGATGTCCCGCCCTCCACCGTTTCACCAATCAGAAAGTCTGTGATCCGGGCGCCAGAACTCACCGCGTGGAGCTAATCTCACTGGTACCAGTACCATGTGGCACAGAACTAAAAAAAGGTCTCGTTATGATTCTCAAATCATTAACGACAAAACAAGGAATAAAACCAGGATTTCTATCTTTGTGAAAAAGGTGTTGGTTATAGATTTGTTGTTGACTAAACTCTTGTCTATTCAGCTGTTATGGTCCCAGCTGGATTCGTCTGCAAATCTGGCAACCTGAGTCAGGGACAGTGGGAGAGGCTGCAGTACCACTTTTGGCCACATACATACTTGTTAATTCATAACTTGGTATATGTTTGCTACTTCCTATGCCATATCTGCAAAAGTATCACAGTGATTCTCAAACTTCCTCCAATCGGACCATCTCAATAACACACTGAGCTAACACACCCTTACACAGTCAGACTATAAACTAATCTTTATTGGCAGAAGGTCAACCATAGCCGGATTAGTCAGTGTTTACGTCTTCTATAGCCGAGAGAGGAGTCGTTTTGTGTCGTACGCCTCCTAAACACTCATGTTGGGAAACCCTCAGCCGCTCAGTGTGAAGCGAGAAGAGCAGATTAATGAGTCGTGAAGCTAATCCCGTCCATCCCTCCTTTCACGCAGCCGTCACATGCCCGATATTGTCTCTTTTGATAGCCCCGGGACCAGAGCGAAACCATAATAGGTTCATTCAGGAGCCTAACTCTGCATATCAGGGCCTATCCTACGCTGAGTGGGTTTTATCTCCTGATTTATTGGCACTTTGGTGACGGTCCGGCACTTAGCATAGCCCCTGCTTCTTTGTATCCTTTCTGCAGCGAGGAAAAGAGGATAGAAAAAAGCTGTAAAAGTTCAAAGGCAGTTTTTTTGATCGTACTACGGACTCTACGGAGCTCGGCTGAGGCCCGGCTGAGGCTGGTCCTTCCCCAGAGTTTTAGACTGAGTTAATGGGTAGTGTAATCTCCATAAGCAGGTGTCGGGAGGCAGGGGTTTGTTCATAGATGTTATTTCACAAGATTTTTAATTACAGGCTCTGGCGCTCTGTTCGTGAGATATACCAACATCTTTCATTTGACTATTTTGTGAATGAAAAAACCAGTGAGCTATGATTTGATTGACAATTGTGGCTTTTTAGTGAGGAAAGCAGCAACGTGTGTTTGATGGTATGGACCTAAATCTATGAAAGAATAATGTTTTAAGTTGAATCATTATAGCGTTTTGCACTGGACATTATCGAATGGTGGAAAAGTCCAGTTTATTTCATTTTTAAAGCAAAGCAATTAATGATCACGCTCTCACAAACACACTCAGCCTGAACTATTGAACATGTTTTTATTGGTCGTTGAAACAGGAGCACCTGAAGGAAACCAACGCAGACACAGGGAGAACATGCAAACCACCCACTACCCACATCATGGCCAGGGGACTACAGATGGAAAACAGCCTCTGTGGCTAATGCTGGCTTTTTAAAACTCATGTTTAATCTTGTGTTTTATTAAGTTGCATTGTCCCCTTTCAAATAAACCAGTGCGAGGTGATATGGCTGAAAACGAGTGATTCATACCGATATCGATAATTATTGATCTTTTAAAAAAAAAAAAAGTAATAATAAACACATTTCTCGTGTCGGCTTAGTCCTGGTTTAGTCCTGGTTTAGTCCTGGTTTAGCTCCTGTTTTGGCCGTTTGAGTGTTTTCAGTGTCTCTGGCTGCGCGCTTGTGTCCCTGTAACGGCTCTGTGCGGGTCTCTGATATCCGCACGTGTTTCCAGAGGAAAAAGTTCATCTCTTGCTTTTGTCGTATCGAGTCTCTGCACCCACTGCCTCTCCCGCTGCACATGCTGTTCCTCACACGGACGGGCAGAACCATTGACACGGCATTGAAACATGACAACTTTAGATCCACGGATGCGACGCATGGTCAGGTTTTTGATTGTGGGTTTTTCTTCTTTTTTTTATGCATTTCCCAGAATGCCTTGCGGTTCATGCTCGGCCGTGATCGGTTGAGAAGCCTATCTATCTATCTATCTATCTATCTATCTATCTATCTATCTATCTATCTATCTATCTATCTATCTATCTATCTATCTATCTATCTATCTATCTATCTATCTATCTATATCTATCTATGTATCAATCAATCAAATGTTATTTATAAAGCGCTTTTTCATACAAAAAATGCAGTTTAGTTAAAAACAATCCAATATGTCATGTCATCGTCTTCCCCTTTATTAATCAATTTCTGGGTCAGGGATCGCCACCCAAGTCCCATATCGCTGATCCTCTGCAGGTGGTGGGTCCACGGGAAGCTGGCCCCTCTGTCATTGAAGACATGGCCTTGGTCTTTCAGCGGGGGCTTCTGGCAGTGTGGGGTTAAGTGTCTTGCCCAAGGACACAATGACAGCAGACATCAGTGGGAGCAGGTGGCATGGGTCGTGGTGGGCTCGAACCCAAGACCATTAGATACAAAGACCAGTGCTCTACCAACTGACCACTATAAACCCCTATAGATACATAGATAGATTATCTATGCGTCTACTGTATCTATCTATCTCTAATCTATATCTAATCTATATCTAATCTATATCTATCTCTCTATCTCTCTATCTGTCTACTTTACCATCTTTGCTCAGGGCAGTTCTGAAGCTTGGGCCCAGAGCAGTTGAAGGAAGAGGATTAGACTCCAGAGTATTATTAGAGCCACTGATTATCGCCTTACCTGATCCGACTAATTCTAGCTCCAGCCTGTTTATTTAGCCGAAAAGTGTAGAAATGTTTGGATTGGGAAGTGAACTGGCTTTTCCTCACTCCGCGCTCTGTGGTGTTGCTTTTCTCATTATGCTCTGGCCTTTCCCCTGCTGTGGGTTTCATGTGATTAATCCACTGCTGACCACGGAGGCCGGCCACAAGGACTTGTTTTAGGGCCAGAGAAGTGTAAACAAAAGAAAATTGTCTTTCCAAATAACCCAGGATAATGCAGTCTTTCATCGCACTCCCTGGACTCAGTGAGAAATGTGAACAGGTCAGAGTCCTGTTGCCGTTTTTCTCAGACGCTTTGGTGCATTTTTCAGACTTAAAATTCTAAAAACTATTAGTTCAACCTCCATAACAGTGAGTCATGTGTGACATCATCGCAGCGGTTTCTCCTTTGAACAGATTACACATGCTTTCGGACATGCTACTTTATTTTATATGTTTTATTTATTTTATTTATTTTATTTATTTTATTTATTTCATTTATTTTATTTATTTTATTTATTTTATTTATTTTATTTATTTTATTTATTTTATTTATTTTATTTTTTATTTATTTTATTTATTTGACAGGGAAAAGTGTTACACAACCAACATGTAAAACACCACATAATTTATGGCTAAGGCTAATTTGCATAATTTGTCCCTAGGAGAACTTTTCACACAATTAAACACAATTAGCACATTTTATAAGTTTTTGAAGTGCTGCACAGAGATAACTTTGTGCAAGAAAACATTATGCACAAAGTAAAAACAACACAAATGTAATAATAACATAGAGCTAACAGTAAACATGTGATAAAATACTAGTTATCTGATTTAAAAATAAAACAAACGTATAACACTTTTTCATTGTGTGCTTGAAATAAAGGAAACTTAAGAACATTTGTAAAAGATGAAAATGTTTTTAAACATGTTGTTTTCTTTTCTTGCAGCGTCCAAGGACATGAAACTGAGTCCACAGCAAGCCCCACTTTATGTGAGTAAAATGGAATTAAACGCTGAACTATGTCCATGTCATAGTAATGATATAGACTGGAGTTTAGGGACAGAGCGTCTGTGTGAAGGGGAACCATGGCTTCTGTTCCTAAAGCAGAGGAAGTGGGTTTGTTCCAGAGTTGTGGACTCGAGTCACATGACTTGGACTCGAGTCATAAATTTGATGACTTTAGACTCGACAAAATCTTAAAAGAGTTGGACTCTAACATCAGTGACTCGTGAGTTCACTTGGACTTGACTTTCTTGACTTTAAAAGACTTGCTACTTTCCTCATCTGTGCACGCCTGTGTGCACCTGTGTGCACCTGTGCGCACATGTGTGTGCCTACACAACTAAAAACTACGAAAAGACTCGAAATTTAAACGATTGGACTAGGGACTCGACTTGAGACTTGACTCAGGACTTGACTCGGGACTTGACTCGGGACTTGACTCGGCACTTGACTCGGCACTTGACTCGGGACTTGACTCGGGACTTGACTCGGGACTTTACTCGGCACTTGACTCGGCACTTGACTCGGGACTTGACTCGGGACTTGACTTGGGACTTGACTCGGGACTTGACTCGGGACTTGACTTGGGACTCGACCTGAGACTTGACTCGGGACTTGACTCAGGACTTGACTCGGGACTTGACTCGGGACTTGACTCGGGACTTGAAGGCAAAGACTTGAGGCTAACTTGTGACCTCAGGTTTGTTCAGACTAAAGGTACAAAAGGTTTATAAATCCCACCTCTGTCCTTTAGAAGATGCTAGAACAAAACTCTTTTACACATTAGTAGTAGTAGTAATCTGTATTTATATACCGCCTTTTCACTGCAGATCTGAGTCTCAAAGCGGTTTACAATTGTTAATTTTGGGCATTTGTCTCTCACTCCACACAGAGATGGGAGCGGGGCCAGTACAGGAGGCGCATGCTAGAACTATTTTACATATTTTTAGTGGTAGGGGAAACCGGAGTACCCGGAGGAAACCTACGCAGACACGGGGAGAACATGCAAACTCCACTCAGAAAGGCCCTGGTCCGACCGGGATTCGAACCCAGGACCTTCTTGCTGAGAGGCGAGAGTGCTAACCACTCAGCCACCGTGCCGCCCGTTTAGTGCTATCCACTTAGCCACATCTTCTGTGGTATTTATGTTTATTTTCAGATCCACATTTTTTTTTTTTTACGCCAAATAGAAAACCAACAAAATGTGAAACCAGACCATCATTTTTTTGTTCTCCATCCATCCATTTTCTTCCCCTAAATCCATTTCTGGGTGGGGGGTGGCAGTCACAGAGCACCAGCCCCTCACTGATCCTCCTGCAGGTGCTGAGTCCACAAGAGCTGAGATCTTTCAGTGGGGGGTTCAGGCAAAGTGGGGTTAAGTGTCTTGCCCAAGGACACAACGACAGCAGTGGAAGTCGGTGGAGAAGGTCTTGTGGTGGGCTCGAACCCACAACCTTCAGGCTCAGAGGCCAATGCTCTACCAACTGAGCCCCAAGATGTTTTCAAGTTGAATTTTAAGAAGAAAAGGGACAGAAACCATCTCGTCCGTTTCACATTTTTCTTTTTCTCTGAGTCACAGAATGATCCAATCAGAGCCTGATCTGGTCGTTTAAAATGTCACTAAAAATGTATTTTTCAATCTTTTCTTTTGATTTCATCCACATTATCTCTTCGATCTTTCTGTGTTTGTAGTTTAAGTTGTATCTTAACCATTTAGTCATTTGGTGGATCACTTTGAGCCACTAAATATACTTTTTAGTGGGCGGCAAGAAGGCAAGAAGGTGCTGGGTTCGAATCCTGGTCGGAACAGGACCTTTCTGAGTGGAGTTTGCATGTTCTCCCCGTGTCTGCGTAGGTTTCCTCCAGGTGCGCCGTTTCTGATTGGAGTGAGAGACAAATTCCAACAATTGTAAAGCGCTTTGTGACTTACTATTTTTTTAGATTGTGGCGCTACTGCCTACAGGCTCTGTTTGCGGCAAAGGAGATGGATAGGCTAAATAGTAAAGCTAGGCTAAATGCTAAAGCTAGGCTAAATGCTAAATGCCACACACTTGGGCTCATTACACACATGACAGTATACTCAGATCCAATTGTTTCCATCTGCAAAAGGAGATAACCCCTCCCACCTGTTAATGGAGCAAATCCAGACCTTAGTACCAAATGTAATTTGTACCATGGTGTGGTACGACCAGGCTACGTTAGTGCCACTTTTTGGCCAAACTCTTGTTAACTCATTGTATTAGGACATATTTGGGCAAGTAACTTTTGACACTGGGAAATTAAAATATACATGGTACTTAATGTCAAGGCCTGAACACAGTAAGAATCTATCAGATTAAGTTAAAAAAACACTTGATTCAAGCCATTTTTACCTCATACTTTATCATTTTTTATTGCCCAAAGATTGAGAATTACACATTGAAATAGAAGGATAACAACTTTAAACACGCCTATAGATTTTTCTCTAAGATTTATAAACAAACCGGGCCATTTTCCAAGTTAAGAAAAGTGGACTTTGTGTTATTGTGTGTTCAGTATCGGTGTCAAACAGCAGCCACCGCACACAGTCTAAATCCCCTGAGCCGGCAGCGGACCACCCAGGGGCTCCGCGGGTGCCAGGTCAGGTGGTTCAGGTGGAACAGGTGTGTGCATGGGTCCTATTGGGTTTCTGAACTTCTGACCATTTCTTACAGAATATCTATGAACTATGTGGCAGGACCATCGCAGCTCACCCATATCTCAGGTTTAATTCATTGTCTAACATTTACTCTAAGTGGTGAGGATTAAGTTGGACTTGGTGGGATGCTAACTGCTAGCTAAGTGAGTACGGGATATAGCCCTGGCCCAGTCAAATAATATATAGACCTGTCACATATAGACTTCACACATAGACCAGTCACATATAGACCTGTCACATATAGACCTCACACATATATAGACCTGTTACATATAGACCTCACACATATAGACCTCACACATATAGACCTGTCTCATATAGATCTGTCACATATAGACCTGTCACATATAGACCTGTCTCATATAGATCTGTCACATATAGACCAGTCACATATAGACCTGTCACATATATACCTGTCTCATATAGATCTGTCACATATAGACCTGTCTCATATAGACCTGTCACATATAGACCTCACACATATATAGACCTGTTACATATAGACCTCACACATATAGACCTCACACATATAGACCTGTCACATATAGACCTGTCACATATAGACCTGTCACATATAGACCTGTCTCATATAGATCTGTCACATATAGACCAGTCACATATAGACCTGTCACATATATACCTGTCTCATATAGATCTGTCACATATAGACCTGTCACATATAGACCTCACACATATAGACCTGTCACATATAGACCTGTCACATATAGACCTCACACATATAGACCAGTCACATATAGACCTGTGACATATAGACCTCACACATATAGACCTCACGCATATAGACCTGTCACATATAGACCTGTCACATATAGACCTGTCACATATATACCTGTCACATATATACCTGTCACATATAGACCTGTCACATATAGACCTGTCACATATAGACCTCACACATATAGACCTGTCACATATAGACCTCACACATATAGACCTCACACATATAGACCTCACACATATAGACCTGTCACATATAGACCTGTCACATATAGACCTGTCACATATAGACCTGTCACATATAGACCTGTCACATATAGACCAGTCACATATAGACCTCACACATATAGACCTCACACATATAGACCTGTCACATATAGACCTGTCACATATAGACCAGTCACATATAGACCTGTCACATATAGACCTGTCACATATAGACCTGTCACATATAGACTTCACACATATAGACCTGTCACATATAGACCAGTCACATATAGACCTGTCACATATAGACCTGTCACATATAGACTTCACACATATAGACCTGTCACATATAGACCAGTCACATATAGACCTGTCACATATAGACCTGTCACATATAGACCTCACACATATAGACCTCACACATATAGACCTGTCACATATAGACCTGTCACATATAGACCAGTCACATATAGACCTGTCACATATAGACCTGTCACATATAGACTTCACACATATAGACCTGTCACATATAGACCAGTCACATATAGACCTGTCACATATAGACCTGTCACATATAGACCTCACACATATAGACCTCACACATATAGACCTGTCACATATAGACCTGTCACATATAGACCTGTCACATATATACCTGTCACATATAGACCTGTCACATATAGACCTGTCACATATAGACCTCACACATATAGACCTGTCACATATAGACCTCACACATATAGACCTCACACATATAGACCTGTCACATATAGACCTGTCACATATAGACCTGTCACATATAGACCTCACACATATAGACCTCACACATATAGACCTGTCACATATAGACCTGTCATTTCTTACAGAATATCTATGAACTATGTGGCAGGACCATCGCAGCTCACCCATATCTCAGGTTTAATTTCATGTCTAACATTTACTCTAAGTGGTGGAGGATTAAGTGGACTTGGTGGGATGCTAACTGCTAGCTAAGTGGTTACGGGATATAGCCCTGGCCCAGTCAAATTAATATATAGACCTGTCACATTATAGACTTCACACATAGACCTGTCACATATAGACCTGTCACATATAGACCTCACACATATATAGACTGTTACATATAGACCTCACACATATAGACCTCACACATATAGACCTGTCTCATATAGATCTGTCACATATAGACCTGTCACATATAGACCTGTCTCAATATAGATCGTCACATATAGACCTCACATATAGACCTGTCACATATAGACCTGTCACATATAACCTGTCTCATATAGACCTGTCACATATAGACCTGTCACATATAGACCTGTGTACATATAGACCTCACACATATAGACCTCACATATAGACACCCCACCCTCCATAGACCTCACAACCATATATAGACCTCCACATATAGACCTGTCTCAGATTAGGACCTGTTCATATAGATCGTACCTATAGATCTGTCCTCCTATAGAGCATGTCACATATAGACCTGTCCACCTTTAGACCTCACACATATAGACCTTTCACATAGAAGACCTCACCACCTTATCAGACCTCACACAGTATAGACCCTCACACATATAGACCTTCACACATATTGACCTTTCACATATAGACCTCACACCTTATAGACCTCACACATAGATAGGACCTGCGTCACATATAGACTCCTAACACATCATAGACCATCCCACCATATAGACCTCACACATATAGACCTCTCACATATAGACCTCACACATATAGACCATCACACATACTAAGACCTGTCACATATAGACCGTCCACTATTGAGCCTGTCACATATATGACCTGTCACATCGCATATACCTGTCACTATATATTCCTGTCACAATATAGACCATCACACATATAGATCCTGGTCACATATATACCTGTCACATACTATACCTGCCACCTATAGACCTCACACCTAATAGACCTGTCAACATATACGACCTCACATCACATATGACCTCACACATATAGACCATCACACATAATAGACCCTCAGCACATATAGACCTCACACACTATTAGACCTCACACATTGCAATTTCACTAGACCTCACACATTATAGTATAGACCTCACACATATAGACCTCCACACACTTAATAGACCTCACACATATAGACCTATCACATATAGACCGTAACATATTAGACCTCACACTTATAGGACCTCACACATAGAGAAAAAGGGAACCTAATCTGCCAATCAATGGTATGTATGTTTGGTATTCATGGTATGGTAGTATAGTATAGTATAAGTTTACGTATGGTTTGGTATGTGTATGTATTCTTTTGTTACAGGTACAATTTTAACATAACACTAAGGAGAGGATGTATTGTAGCAGGTTAATAGCAAAGATGCTGATTCCCACATGTAGTCCCAGGGCTGTTGTTCTGTTCATTTAAACTGATTCTAATGTAGTTAGAATAAAACACATGTATTTTATGTCTTTTCGCAGTAATCCCAGATTTTAAACACGGCTTTGACACAACTCCCCCACGCGAATGCGGGTTCTGTGTCTTGTGCTCAGACATATTTCTGAGTGGGGTACGTTACTATGCGGGGTCGGGGCTGGCGCTAACGCCAAGGGGCAGTGCCCGCGGTATCATAAGATCTGGGTCGATGTCTGGCCAGGGACCTCGGGGTGAAATTTCGGTACTACTAGGTGGGGGCTACGGAGCTCGCGTAATGTGGCGGTGCAGCGGGGGTGGCGGAGGAACCGTCGTGGCGAGACGCAGGGTGTTCTATTTTGTGCGGGATAGGGGAGGGATAAAGGGAGGGGGGTGGCGGGGGGGGGAGAGGTGGGCGGGGGCGGCGGTGTGGGGGGCGGTACGCGGTAGGCGGGCGTGTGTCGGGGGGGTGTTGAGGTGTATTTTTCTTTTTTTTTTCTGTTTTTTTCTCCTAAGTCGTTTTTCAAAAGATGCATTTATCGTCACTTTCTTACATTAAAAAGTAACATTTTCGGTTTTATACATCTATGATAATATCGAAGGAATTCTGTCCCTCTCACCAGCAAAATTTACAAACTAATAGATCCCCTGGCCGCAGCACGACCCACCTCTCACAGGCCGCCTCCCCTGCTCACCTACAACAGGTCTAATGGATAAGCAAAAAAGTACAAACTCTTAAATTTCGTGCCTTTAGTTGTCCAAGCCTGGTTCCTTACCCACACCCATTGGTTACTTCATATTTCATTTCATCTACTAAGGTTGGATTTGCTCCATTGATCCCGTTAACAGTAGCCAGGCGACGGTGTCCGACGGTGGGGGGGGGGCCGGGCTAACTCCTTTTGAGATTGAAAACCCATTGGATTCCACTGAGTTTTACCGGGGGGTCGACCCGGATGGGTAATGGAGCCCGATGGTGACGGGAGGCCCTGTATGCTAGTGAGCCCTGTAGCATTTAAGCATTAGGCCTAGCGTGAGCTGGGAGCCCTTGAAGGTGAAAAGCGCTGACCTTGGTACTGTGCGCCAGTCCGGGCGCCGGGAGCCACACAAGAGCCGCTCCACGCGGAGAGGAGACGAGCGTCAGGGGTCGAGGAGAAGAGGAAGGGCCGTCCGATGTGGACACGACATCCTGCCGCAAGCGGAGAGCCCGGTCAGGCTGAGACCATGCCGAGCCGGCCGCGGGAGCGCCGCCAACTGCGCACGAGGGCAACGCCCGTACGGTCAAGGACCACGCGGGAACAACAAGAGAGAGGTTGGTGCCGGCACCACAGCACCAGAGCAGGTTTACTCGGCCAGTGGGCGAACCGGGGATGCAAAAAAGAGCAGCGCGAACCAGAGAGAACCACAGAGAGACCAGCCCATCCAGCGCCCGACCGCAGGCGCGACCCAACCCAAACTAGAACGACGCGAAAGGCAGCAGCACCACCAAGACAAGACCAAGCGAGATATACCAACCACACGCCGAGGCCAAGAACGAGCAAACACGCGAGACACCCACGACGGCGCAGGAACAAAACTCGCCCGAGCGGAAGACCGAAGCCAGGGACAGGGCGGTGAAGACGGTAATAAACAAGGCGCTAAACCCATAAGCAAGAAGAGAAGACAACGAGAGGCGACCGATAAGCACAAACCAAGACCCAATGAAATCACCCTCCTAACCACCAAAAATCAAAACAAAAAAACAACGACAACTCGCAACAAACCACAAACACGCAAACCAACAAACACCACACAAAAAACCAACCACCCACACCCACCCACATCGACAAAACAAATCCAACAACCAAACCAACCCCACAAACACACCCACGCAGAACACCCAGAGACGAGAAGCCGAAGAGCACCGAATCGGAGACGGCAACACACCAGGCGACAAAGAGGAGGGCACCAAAATGAACGCCCAGACCCACAGCCGAACCCACACCGCAGACGCAACAAAAAACACCCCGCAGAGGCACAGCCGAAGCACCAAACCTCGCCGGCCGCCCCAAACCGCGCAGCCCAACGAGCCGGGCCCCCGCGCGCACGCGCCCAGCGACCCTCGCCCGACATGCCTCACAACGACCCCCCCCCCCAATCATACCCCACGACCCCAACCACCCCCCCCACACTGTTACCCACCTCATTAACCAAAGACCCAGAGAGAGCGAACAACAAGGCCGAGCCCTTCAGACACAACCTACACACACTACGCCACAAAAAAATCCACCCCCGCTAACCAATGGGGCCTTCGTACGACAAAGACACCACCATCCAACACCCAACCGCAACCTCTCCCTACATACACACACCCCCCCCCCACCCCTCCACCCACACCCCCCACCTAGAGCACCAACTGCGACAAAAAACAAACAAGCACCGCCCAAACCTTAACCCCCCCCAGCCCATCCACATAAATACACCCCCTCCATACAAAACCACCCCACTACCATCCCCCACCCCACCCCCACTACCGGAAACCCCACTTACCCCATACCAACCCCAAAAATTTACAAAAAAGAAACCCCTAACTAAAACAACTAACCCCCGGCGGAGGGGCTGGGGTGGGGGCTGGGGCGGGAGGGCCACAACCACACACGGGGGGTTGGTGTGGTGGAGGCTGTATGGAACAGCCTCACACCGCGCGCCCCCCCCCCCCGCTCGGCCGGCCCCCGCGACAGACGAATCCTCCCCCATACCCCACCTCGAACTCCACCCGACGTGACCACTCCCCCGTAGAGGCCTAAACGGCCACCCCCCCACTACCCCCCACCGCCGGCCCGCGCTGAGCATAGCCCCACCCGCACCTCACCGCCGCGCCACCCACCCCACCTCGCGCTCCCACGGGGAGTGTCGAATCCAGCTCTGTTTCGGACGCCGCCACGCGCTCCACCATACCGCGCTCAGGCGTGAGGGCTAGCCGCCGCCCCCGACGAGCCACCCCCGCCACCCCACGCGTCCGGACTAGCAGCCGCGCAGCGACCCAGGTCTTCCCACCTACTCCCCTCACCCTTTCGCCTCTCCAGCGCCCTCCCCCCACCACCAACCCGCGCAGCCACCCCCGGCGAAGGCGATCAGACACACGCGCAGCGCCCCGTCGAGAGGCAGAACGGAGAGCCAACCAGACGAGAGGACACACTGTCTAAATCGGTACTCATTCCCTGACTTCGCCGGTTCACTTTCTTCTCCCGTTCACCCCTTGGGTTAGACGTGTTTGTGTTTCTTGGTTCTATCATTCTCCAACCAGTTTGCTGTGGCGCCTTGATGTTCTGCTTATGCGTTCTCCTCGCGTCGTGCTCTTCTCTGTTATCTCCTCTTACGTTTCTCGTCCGCTCGCTTGTCTTTACGTGCGTTGTTCCGCGTGATGCCCCTCCGTTGCTCTCTCCTCGCGCAGCTTTTCTCTCTCGGTGGTGATGGTGGTGTGAGGTTGATGTGGGGAGTGGGAGCGTTGTTGGTCGTGGTGTGGCGGAGCATAGCGGTAGCGAGGCGGAACGCTATAGGCGGTCACGGCGCTGCGTGCCTCCATGTCTCCCACACCCATGAACCCGTAACACCCCAGACCACAACCCACTCCCCTTAAAAACAACCCGACCACTATCCAACGATCATACTCACCACCCCCACCCCC